CCCTACCTCTACACTACAGATCCATGATACCTTGAAGCTAAAGTGCTATTTTTAATGTAATAGTCTGTGTTGATATCCTTAGCATTGGCTGTACTTATTAGCTGGTTATTGATCTTATACGCAAATTGCAACAAAAAATACTTTCAAAATGAACACTAATATTTGCGGATTGAAAAAAAGAGAGTTCATACTATCACATAAGCTTTGCTTGTGTAAATAGGGCAAAACCAAAGAGTCGAAAAAGGAAAGAAACAAAACTTAAAAAAAATATGAAGTCCCCCTCGCCATTAAAACACACACACACACACACACACAAAAATTTGTTGCTCATAGAAAGAAGCAATATGAGGCTAATAAGTCAATGTTTTATAGTCCGAAACCTATCAATCAGAAAAAAACTTAAAAAAAGCCAAAAATTTCACGAAAAATTTAAACTGTAATTTCTATTAGGATTCTACAATTTGTGCGATCCAGTGAGCATGAAAATTATATTTCCCTTAAAAGCACTCAAAGTTAGGTCACTAAGCCAATAAGCAGACGAACCATAAGCTGACAAATTTTTTGAGACGGAACATTCCCCGTTTGAAAAAAAACAGGTCCTGTCAGATTCGAACTCACCTTTGCCGCCCCAGGGTTATTGATTCCCTCTAGTCAAAGGGTTCCGCTTACACAAACAAAAAAGAAATCATAATGAACTGAACCTAAATTTGCCATTTCTAATTTTGACCATTCTGTGAACAAAGTTATTTACGGGAAAAAAATCTAGTAATCGAGAGCAATACCCTTGCTTATCGCAAAAGTTAAAATGACTTCATAAAAGTCAAAAATCTATCTACAAAAAATTCATTTCGTTGTGTCGGACGATGTAAAAAAAACAGCCTTAAAAACAATGAGAATCAATGGCCGAGCTGCAACTAAGGCGAAAAAACTTGGGTTGACCCTCGTTTAGCCAAAAACGAACCTTACATAAAACACTCTAGCTAAAAACTTTTCTTTTATAGTAAAATGTTTACAAACCATCCCTCCTAAAACAATCAAAAGCATTAAGAGCAATTATTCGGCCTTGAAATTAAAGTTGACTAGCGATAAAATTAAAACATTGCATTACATGATACTGAATAGAAAAAAAAAGATTTTTTTTGTTCCAAAAGCTAAGGGGCAAAATTTAATTGACGGATTTCTCAAGACTCTATCAAAAAAAATTCTTACGTTGCCTCGGATAATTTTCGTAGACAGCCTTACGGAGCACTGAGAATCAATGATCAAGAGGCAACTAAAGCGAAACAACTTGGGTCGAACCTCGTTAAGCCGAATACAAAACAGTAGGCATAAAAAATATTCAAGCTATGAAAATTTTCAAGAAAAACTTCTACGACTCATTGCTCATGAAATATGAAAAAAACATAGAATTCAACTCTCCCTTGAAGCTGCTCAACATAAGCTGGCTGACTAAACCAAAATAAAACACACCGAACTCGGTTAACCGAAAATAAATTATTAAATAATTAAAAATCAGAGATGGTAAATTTACTAAGTACAGGGCAATTTTCAATACACAGGTGAAGCGGAGCTTCGCATCACATACGATATAACAAAATCACGAAAGTATACGTCAAAAAAAAAGAAAAAAGGTGAACCAAAATTTTCGTATGTCTCGATGAAACACACCTAGGTGCCAGCTAAACTTGGAGACATGTCTTTAATATTTATTTAAATTTGTGATACGGATGAAGGACGAAATGCGTTATTTCAAAAACTGGACCGTGCCCAAAACCTTAGTGTTTTCTCCACTTAAATAAGAGAGAAGAGTGAAAAAAAAATTAAATTTTCGAAATTTCCCAATAAACTAACCTTTCTCTTACGAAAAATTTAGGAGTAAACACTTCTGCCTGAAAAATTGGGCCACAGCTTTTTTTCGATTGAAATTTTCGTCGCAGACTCGATAGGGTAGTTTTAAAAAAAACTCAAAAGTTTCTAAAAACAGTCAAAGCTCAAAACCTTGACTTTCCGAAATTCGTAATTTTAAGACCATATCCTTTTTCTTAAAAAAAAAGTGGACGTAGCAAATTATACAGATCAGCTTGCAACAACCTGTTGTGTCGATTAACCCTATGAAATCAGGTGTAACAGTTATCGAGAGAAGTCTAAAAACCGGTCAACAAATCAGAAAAATGACATTTCCGCTTTTCATAGCTTTTTAAAAAAAAAACAGCGTAGCCGCCTAAAAAGAAGAATTTCAACCATTGAAAAATCGATTGTACCCAAAAGACAAGGTCTATCAGGGCTGTTCTCGAAAGAAACGAAGATATTTCAAAAAACGGTCGAAAAAATCAAAACTTCGAATTTTCTGAGGGCCATAATGAGATCATAAAATTTAGAAAAAAAAATCTCAGAAAATTGACTTTTCCGAGGACCAACTTTTTGTGTTAAAAAATTGTGAGCGGCCGCTGATGCAAGGAGTTTCCCATTACCCGTTATCTCCCTTGAGCTCAAAACCCCAGGCTTACGAGGATGGTTTTCGAGAAAAATTAAACAGAGGCGAAGCTTCGCTTCGCAAACACTAGCCAGAACAGGACAAAAAGCAGCTCTATAAAGTTCATTAAAAACCAGTAGAAATAAGCCTTGAAAAAAAGTGGCTAGGTCGTTGATTCTATCTGCGATCTAGAGATTTCGAGTCTCATGCACTAAGCACGCTCAATGTCACAAACACTAGACACAAAAAAAGCAGAGAATAGATACCATGAAATTCCAATGATAAATCGTGATTATGGCAAAAACGCCACCAAATAAGTAAACACTTTCTACTTTCAATGAACGCTTTTATTTGCGAGTTAGAAAAAGAAAGGTTCATACGAATACACTACGCTAATGGCTAGTGTAAAAACATTCAAGAAACGGTCAAAAAAATCAAGACTATTCCGACGAACATGAAATTTTGTGTAAAAAATTTTAGGCGTAGCCGCATCTGAAGTGGAGCAGTTCAAGTCCGTTCCAATCATTGAAACAAAAAATCTGTGATATCGTAGGTTACTTCTTGGAAAACCAATAAATCAAAAATGGTGGTCAAATATTCCCCCACAGACTTTTTTGAAGGCTGTAGGCAAAAGGGTAAGGCAAAAAGATACTTATGGACTATACACACAAGAATGCAGGCATTTTTTTCTATGCATGCCCCTTCTTTTAAATAAAACGGTAGAAGGATTTCTGGAAAAAAAATTGTTTTTGCAAAAAGCGAAAAAATTTTCCAAATCGTCTCAAAAAAATTCTAGGCAAACATGCCACGTAACAGATTAGAAATTCATTTCGCAACTGAGCAAAATTTAAGAAGCGGAAACCAGGCCGACAATCTTTGAGCAGACACCAGTTTACAAAAACTGATTTTGTAAAAAAAAAAATTTCCCCCTTAAACTACCCTGTAGTGACTAATTATTGCGTAGTTGTTACATCTATGCCGAGTTGGCCGGAGATTGAGCATGATAGCACGTGAATGGAGTGGACGTGAATGAAGTGATTCAACTGATTTTGTTAAACTAGTTGTTAACCCGAAAAAGTCTATATTCCCTTTCGATAACGCTTGTTAATCGCAAGCGTAATTATAATTTAAACTGATTGAAGTAAAAAAAACTCCAGCTTTGAAAAAGAACTGCTTGAAAAACTCAGCAGATAATTTGAATTGCAATTAAAAAAACATAAAATCAGCCAACCAAAACTAGCACGAAAACCTCCAATCCAAAAAATCAACATTTTTCACGATTTATGATAGAAATATTAATTACAACCCCACATAAACTTTTAATCGAATTTTTAAGAAATTGCGCAGGTCAGCTTTTGAGCATGTTGGCAAAAAGTGAAAGAAAAGTTGTTTCCGGGAAAAGAAGTCTTGTTCTTGATTACAAGTCACTTTCTCTCGCAAGTTAAACCATTATTAAACAGAGGTTTTGCAGCATTTATGAGAACACGATCAAAAGCAGTTCTATCAAGTGAAATTAGAAAAAATAAAAATAAGCCTCAAATTACCAAAAAATCGACTACGTGCAGGCTTCGAATCTGCGAGCTACTGCAATCAAGAGATTCTAAGTCTCACGCACTATCCACTCAGCCAAGCAAGCTCAAGAACCCACAAACACTTGTCACGAATAAAGCAGCCAAATATGCTAATAAATTGCCAATGCAATTCAGCAAAAAAGCAACCAAATACAAATAGACCCAATTTTGCAAGTAATATTTTGGAATATAACAAACTGAAGGTGAAGGCATCATCCACACTAACTTTGCATTTAACAAATCACAAAGCATAAAAACACATTATGTATAAATTATGCATTTCACAAAATGCGAGATATATTGAGTTAGAAAATTTCTGAAATCGAGTTTTCATTTTTGTTATGTTTGAAACAAACACTTTTTTTGATTCATTTAATGAATTAAAAATGCATCAACTGTGTTTACTTATTACTATTCGAACGCCAAAGCACATGCTATGAAAAATCTGTAAAGGTGACGCCCTAAAAGTGTGTAAATGTGCCCTAAATGGGCCTAAAAGCTGTAAAGGTGCCCTATTCAGGTTGGAAAGAAGGTTCGTACTAATACACTCGCGTCGCAATTGTAAATAACGGAACTGCCGTATCATGAAGTTGTCGCTTTTATGCGCGCAGCTGCTTGATTCTCTACGGGTCCAGCTCATTTCCAAATGAGTTTACATCAGTTTATTTTCACATTCTCTTCTCATTTTGCCACTAGTTTCGATCATTTTTGGGTGTAGCTCAATTGGTGGTCCACTGATTAGTGCAGAGACAGTTTTTTGTGAAGCTTTTGTGAAATAAAAAACTTTTCGAAAACTCAATTGAGAAAGTTCGAAAATACTAAGCTATATCAATATTGTATTTTTACAGCAATTAAATCAAGGTCACTCGCAAACAGGCGGGTTTTCATCGTGGCATTTAGATTCAAAGACGTATTTATTTACAGTTAATTAATGGTAAAAAGTGGAACTTGCAATTAGAACTTAGAATCCCCAAATGCCAAAATGATATTGCCTCACTCGTAGTATAGTAGTAGTATTAGCACAGCTATCACTCTTCTATGTGAAACGAAAGTAGAACAAATTAATTATTATTGGAGCATGGTCATTCAACATTAGACCAGTCAAATTTCATTTCAGCGCAAAATTTCACCAAAACGTAGATAATCCAGAAAAGGACACACTTCAAATTTATTAATTTAGTCTTCAGAATGATATGTGATTAAAATAACATTTTCAAATTCAATAATCGTGTACTATGACGAAGAAAACATACGAGGACAAAAAATATTAGCTGGAAAAGAAATATCAGACCATTTGATTGAACTTACAACTAGAATAAAAAGATTGGATAACAATAATAACTGTTTGATGCGCAATTAGCGCAGAGTGTTCCGACTACTGTGATTTTCCGAGAAAAAAAATTGGAAAAAGATGAACCAGAAGTTTTTTGTATTTGCTTTTTTCGTGGCAGAGTTGAAGATGTGGTCAGCCATTATATTTGACAAGCGAAAGATAATATTACTTAAAGACTGTTTTTTGATTCGGTTGTCGGAATAATCTATTCATAATTTTGTGATAAAGCTCGACAAACAAGATACGTTTCACAGTATTTCTGTCAACAAAAATGACGAATTATTTCACTTTGGAATAAACTATTAACTATTTACAGATTAAACACCAAAGCGCAGATGGATTAGTAGCACGGTCGATGGATTGATTGGTAGGGTCAAATGTTTTCAGACCAATCGCGTTTGGATTTCAAACGGATTCTGCTATCAAAGACCGCACATTAAACTTTTAGTCCGAATAATCGTAGGACATAATAATTTAACTAGAACGATATCTATATCTACAACTTAAAATTATCACTAGATCATTGTGTTGGCTACATTAAATAGAGATCTATGGTAATAGACTGGAGATGCCTAGATGGGGCTTATTGCATTTTGCAACGCCTTTGATGTACTTAGTAGCATGTTTAAGGATTAGTTGGAGAAAGACAAGAAATAGCGTGCCCGTCAGTCTCGTGGCAGTGATATGAGACCCGGGAGTGATTGGACAGATGACTCGTCAGAGTGATGAAGCAGCTGTGAGCCACCCGAAGGCTATGATCGTCAGGAGTGCGCGGAGGTTGCGACTTGTGACGAGTGAGTCTGTGCGACACCATTGGACTTGGAAATCCTCCTAGCTTGTGACTGTGTTAGAGATGAGGTGTTTTTCTTCTGTGATCCTTTTGAGTACTTCGGCCCTTTCACTCCCGTCATGCTCGCCCGAGATTCCCCTGCAGCACCTATTCGCACTGCTTTTAGATGGGCAGCCCGTTTGCGCACAACTGTGCCACTACCAGAGCTGTCTGAACAAGCAGCTGTCGAAATCAGACTCTGGAAGTCGCCCGATGGCTTCATATCATTCTTAAGCTCCTGAAGCAATGAGCGCACCAGACTGGGCTGAGTGAAGACACTCGCCGATGTGTCATCTACACCGCTGTCAAGAGAGAATTTACATGAGCTGTCAACTAGATTGCAGGCTGCATTTATCCCCGCTCCTGCGCCCAAATTATCGCCTAAATACGCGACTGAGGCGTCCATAGCAGATGACGATGCTTGGGTAGGACATTGACGGTCGGAGGGCGATAAAATAGCTGGTTCCAAGAGTTGCTGCGACTGAGATGGAGGACTTGAGACGTTGTTGGAAAGTGTAGCGTATCTAGACACCCGGCTAACTTTGTATACTGTGGGGAAGTCTCTTGGGAAGAATTTGATAACCTCCTCTATAAAAGGCACTGGGTTAAACTCAGGTCCCATGTCTATAATTTCCTTCACTGGCAGAATATCAGCGTCATAAATTTCGCAAATAGTGACACCTCCTTCATCGCCATTTAAAGATGATCCCGAACAGCTCTCAGTTCTGCATAAGGTGCTGGATGAAGTAGCACCAGAAATATTATTTGTTTTGGTCTCCATTTGTATTTGCTTCAGTGAATTTTTCTGTTCTTCCAGACAATCGCTGAAATCATCGAGGTAGCTTTTGAGATCCATCTTTGACACGAACAACTTCTGCTCCTCAGTTAGCTCCAGAAGGTTCAACATGTCATTCCAGTTGTCTTTGTTTTTACGAAGTGAAGCAACAGTTCTGATCTGACGCTGGAACAACTTGAAAGCAGTCCTCTTCCTAAAAACAGTTTCCGTTGTTTCAAGCTATAAAAGTTTCAACAAAAAAAATTTCAAAACGAGAATTAAAATGCCAAAATTAACTTCAAATTGGGATCTTTGAGCCCCCCACATTTCAATTTTTCTGTTTTTATAGTTTTTTTTGTGTTATTATGGCTAAATGCGTGATGTTACAGTGTAAAGTACGAAGAAAAAATCTGTTCATAACTGTTAGCTAGTTCACTATGCCAATTTTTATGTCATTATGATAAGGATGAATTGATTTTTCAAAATTGAATTTAAAAAGGGGGGGTTTGGGGGATAGCGTCAAAATTCGAAACCGGGCATCTGGGCAACAGTAAATTGTCTTAATTTGCCTTGGCTTAATTGCCGTGGCTCCTAGACTTCAACTACTTTCACGCACAGTCTGTTCTTAGACATCAGGCAGCAACAAAATCGCTTAAAGGAAAATATAGAAGGACCATATGTAATGTAATTAACACATAAATTAACGCAAAAAATAACGCATACATTAAAAAATTGTCTGAATAACAAACTCTCGCCAGCTAATTTGTGAAGACAAGTCTTCTCAAATTTTGATACAGAAGCAAAAAGAGCCACCGAGCTAACAGGATAGGGCCATACTAATGACTATGACACAGTAAAGATTAAAAAACCTACCGACGATCATAACATAGTTCGAAAGTAGCAAAATTAAAAATTTACAACCTAATTTATAATGAGGGTAGTAAAATATCTCTGAATCAGAAAACATAGCCAGCCGACAATTTGAAAAATTGGATCAAATTAAAATCATTCCCCTGAACAGACCAATTTAAGGTCCTTTAAGGTGCCGTTAAATTGGACTATCGTGTAACGCACCTCTGGTGCTTCGAACTTTCAACATCTTAAAAAACTGCTTACATTGGAAATGAGGTTTGCATTTTGGAAATGAGATATGAGTACTCTGACAGGGTTAGTAACTTCAAAATTTGTAAACTTTTTTCATTAAAAATTTTTAATTCAAACTTTGAAAAATCAAAAAAATTTAGTGATTTTTCTATATCTAACTTTTTTTTAAAAATTTGAAATGGCATGAAGAACATCACATCTTGGAAACTTAAAGCAATTGAGCAGTCGCATTTGGACGCAAGAATTGCAACTCCAGATAGTACTCTCACAGCTCCCACCTACAGCGGTGGGAATTTCAAACTTTGAGAATATTCAAATTTAATTTATCTAATTTTTTTTTTGAAAAACCATTTAAACGTCATATCTCAAAAACTACAAAGATTTGAGCAGTCACAATTGGAGGCAAGATTCGCAACCCCTGAGAGTACCCTGAAAGAGAGAGCCTCACTAAAGAGATAGGAACTTCAAACTTAATGAAACTTTTTATATAGAAATTTTAAAAAAGACAAAACAAACGTCTTATCTCGGAAATTAATTGCATTTGAGCAGCTGTATTTGAATTTTTTTAAATCTAAGTTCTAGGAAAAACTAAAAAGAAATAATCAAACACGTAATATCTCAAAAACTACAAGGGGCTTTGAGGCAAGATTCGCAATCCTTGAGAGTACTCAGACAGCACGCAACTACAAGGTTGGAAATTTCAAATTTTGTAAACTATTTTGTAATTTAAGTTTTCTGAATATTTTTGAAATCACAAAAATCGTCGTACCTCGTACATTCAAAAAATTTGGGTACTCATAATTTGAGGCCAAATTGGCAATCCATGGGGGAACCCTAAAAACATCCCACTATTGGGCTGCTTATTTTAATCTCGGTGAAATAAACTGTAATTCAAACTGGAAAATCGAAAAAAGTTCTTAACCATTGCAATATACGATATAGCTTAAACGTGAAAACAATTCTTTATTTGAACAAGCAAAAAATAATACGTAGCAAAAGCCCGCATTTAAATATATAATAGAAAGATAAAAGATAAAAGTTGATTAGCGCGGCATATAAAATACTTGATTCTGAATGGCTGAACACTCTGAATAACTTCAAATTTCGAGTTTCAAAGAGAAATGTATGACCTGAGGTCACCTTAAAGACCTAAGATTTAAAAGTCTTTCAAGATTGGCATTTTATCAAAAAAACAAAACCAATTAAAACAAATTGGATCAAACACAGTGGCGAAGTGGAGTATCGCACCACTTGCGATGAGCCAGAATTAAGAAAAAACTTTACTGTAAAAACAGCAAGATATTTCATATTTTTCAAAAAAAAAATCAGTCACAATAGTCTAAAATCATGCACGATCTAGAAGTTTTTGAAGGAGGAAAAGGAAGGCTTTTTTAAACCGAGGTATCGGCACATAACTAATTTTTTCAAATTATTGCAATCAGAAACACCAAAATTTCAAAAATCAAACGAAAAGTTGCTATTTATTGCTTCCATTGAGATGAGAGAAGAACGCAAAGACAAAATTAAAAATTTCGAAACCCCCCAGAAATTCTTAATGAAAATTATGACAATTTTAAATCACAAATTGTATCAAAAACAAATTTCCCGTAAGACAATTACTTGCACATTAGCAAAATACAACAAAGCCGATAAAAAAGCCACATGGGCGTTTTACCGCCTTGATATGTGGTATATATGAGCCGAGGTGATAAATAGTTTTGTAAATCCTGAAGAAAACCTACATTCCGACGGATAACGCTTACTAATCGCAAGCGTAGTTATTGCACTGGAAACTCTACAATAAAAACAGACTTTCGAAACTACGGCAAACTTCCTTTTCTCCAAAAAAAATGCAACTTTCTCATTAGAACATGAATAATCATATTCCATGCAGCAAACCAATTTCAACTGAAATTAAACGAATCAACAGTCATTTACGGGCTAATTCGAGTTGATATTTTTTGAAATGTTTTCAGCTACATGCTAGACCATTATCTTAATTTATTTACTGGTTACAATTTCGCACTCAATTTCTATGATTTTCAGGTGAATTTAGTTTTTTTTCAAGCAGCTTCTAGAAACAGCCAACAGGCAGTTGCAAAAGTGTCGATGAACTAAGGGAAACAGAAAAAATAGTGACTTGTACTATGAAAAAACTTCAATTGTCGAGTCTGGAATAATACATAAATGCCTTTAAAGCTCTTGAACTTTCATGAGCAATTTATGAGTGAAATCTTTGACAAAATTAAACCAATTTGAGAAAACGGATCATCAGGTTATTTATTTACATTCCGCTGTGAACACTGACACTTAAATCCACTTTTGAAACTTGAAGTCAATCACGTTTTTTGTGACCTTTAGGCTTTTACTGTTCGACAGTGGAGCTTGCCTGGCTTTTATTAGAAAAACTGAACTGAAGAGGTCAAAAGTCAATCTGCAAGGGATCATATAAAGCGTGACCAAATTTTATATTTTTCCTCGAAAAACAAAAATAACTCATTACCTTCATTGACTTTTATTAACTGATATTCGATTTCATAATGGTTTCTAATCGTAAGAAATATTTCATTGTTTTCCAACTTAAACCTTGAAAGAAATCCATTTTGAAAACAAGCAAAGCGGATCTTCGCAAAATTGCCATACAGAGGGAAAAAATTTAGACAGAAGCAAAGCGATCCATTACAAACATAGCATAACAAGGCATATCGTTCTAGCCAACAGAAAAACTAAACAAGCATGTCGAGAAACAATTGCCAGCGTTAAATTAGTATTAAATTTAGTATTTAGTTAGTATAGGAAAAAAAAATATCGAGCGGTAGCAAAGCAAACAAAATTTGGACAGACGCCTGCGAACAGCAAAAATCTTTGACTTAAATTTCAGCTACAAAAAATTTCAAAACTCTAAGTATCACGTACCCCTAGCACAAATGAATAAAAATCATTATCGACCTTCCATCTCATCAACTCAGACCAACGATAGGATGTGCAATGATAGGATGATGTAAATTCAATTAGATGTCACTATAAAGAACTCATTGAAGAACCTTAACGCAATTTCAACAAAAAGAGGAGAGACACGAATGTAGAAATCAGGCCAGCCTTTCACATTCAAAAAAATAAAGCAAGAAAAATTGCAATCCACCAGGAGACGTAATTCGCCCAATTTGATCAAAAAGGTTACTCTCAAAATTTAAATTTCAACGCAGGCGAAGCTGCAACTACGCCAACACACGCAAAAAAAATAGAATTATACAAAAAAGTTGTGTCAATCGAATCCCAGACCTGGAGATAAAAGTCTCACGTCCTAGCATCTGAGCATAACAATCTTTAAACAATAGCCATAAATAAACAAAATACCTAGTAAAAATGATACGCAGTAAAAGTAAATTAGATATAAAGTTACTGCTGCAAAAACTTACTGCTGCAAAAAATGAATTTTGTAATACGACACTAGGCTCCCTTGTGTAAAACTGTAATTTTTTGCTTCTCTTCTCTAAAATTGACAAAAAAATAAAAGATGGTTTTTTCATTAAAGCAGCATATAGCTACTAACGAACAGCTGCATTTATATTTTAATATATACTGGAATGATTTGAGCAGCCACCTTTTGGGACCAGAATTGCAACTCTAAAGAGAACCCCGACTGCGCCCACCATAGCGTTGCTTAATTCATATTTTGTGAATTAGACACTAACAAAAAACTTTGGTCGCGAAAAAAAAGGAAAAAAACTGTGGAGTTTAAGCATTCGCTCTCCAACAGATTTATGGTGAAAATTTTAAAAGGTTGGCCTCAATAAACGTTCGCCTCAAGAAACACCACAGAAATAAATTAGGCAATACTTTGGCATTTTAACATGTCAACTTAAGGATTTCTTAAAGGTGTCACAAGAAACACCACAGAAATAACGTAGATTTCTCGAGAAAAAAATTAAAACGCTCCAGTTTGCTTCGTATTATTTGGTATCGATATTTGATATGTTTTATTTAGTTGAATTTTAGCAACTAATAGAAAATATACATTAATGCACATATGACAAGTGTCTGTATAATCGCAAAATAAGCATTTTTCAGACAAGAAAAGTAATTTATCGGTTTATACACAGTTAACTGGACCACATTAACCAACGAATTCAACCAAAACGCACTTTGTTGTCCATCATTAGTACGAAAAGAGTAACGATGACAGAGATCAATGATAAAAGCATTTTTTTCGAAGAACTATCGACGTTTGAGTTGGTCATGCCCGGTGGACGTCGAGTTCCCTTCAAAGACAACGAAACACTGCTGAAGATGCTACGAAGTCAGTACCCAAGATGGACACAGAGAGGTGGGGTGACATCCGTTCCCACAGCTAGGGTACCACGGCTTTTTTTACACAATGTACAGATGTCCACTGACATGCAAAAGGAGTTTAGCTCTCTTCAGAAGGGCGAAACGGGTGAGATCAAAGTGTTCAAGATGCTTCTGGATTCGTTCGATCCAAATCACGAAGGAATGATAGTATTCCCAAATTTAAACGGACGAGAACTCTTTGCAACAAAAATTGCTCATGTTGAAATAGACACTGTGATAGTTCATCCACGCAAAGGTGTGTTTGTATTCAACGTCAAAAAACAAGGAGGCAAAGGCCTGACTCCTAAGAAGATAAAAGACGACATACAAAAACACGGAAACTTTCTAAGGATGCTTCTACAATATGGTCAGGCAGAACTAAACGGCAATCCCGTTCCCATCCATAATGTTTTCTGCTCTTTGCACGACGACAACAAAGTAAAATTCCATGAGCTTCAATCAAATGAAGTCCCGCATAGCCGTACATTAATATTCACAAAAAGCGACCTCAGAGTAGAACATTTCGCCACGAATTGGCACGAGCAATTGTCTCAACTCGACGACTTTGAAATGGTGGAGCAACTAGAAGTGCTAGTGGCACGTTTGGTTGCTCTAAGCTCTTTCGAAGGCTCGCTTGCTCTAATTCATAATCAAATGAGCATGAACTACATGCAGACTGTCTCGAAAACAAGCCAGTCTAAATTTATAAAAGAAGTGCAAAGCTTGAATTATCTCGATGACACGACCAAAGAAAAACTGAAAAAAGCTACGCAGGCGCAGCACCACGGTCACGGTTCACAGAAAAAACGGTTCATTATATGGACAAACGACCAAATTAACATCATTTCCACAGTATTCCAGCGACTGGTAAAAACGATTTCACCAGGAGAGGAAAACGAAAAGGGCCTGAGATTGATAGTGACCGGATGCAAGGGCTCTGGAAAGACCATGTTGCTCACATTTATAGCCAAAATGGCTCAGTGTATGTTTGAGGCCGAAACCAGCAGCTCTGCAGCTGCAACCGATGGGAATTCAGACATTGGAACAGAAACTGGCAGCGGAATCGAAACTAAGATTGGCACTGGGGTCGAGAATCCACCAACATTACCATATGCAACTGAGTATGATACCAATGATGAAAACTCGACTCAAATTCAAGCACGAGACAAGCCAGGAAAAGTGCTAGTTTGTGATGGAAGTTTCAGTTCCCCCGTCCTTACTACACTTTTGCAGACGATGCTCAACTCAACAGCAATATCTGTTTACACTACACCAGGTAGAAAGTTATTTTTTATTCAGATTTTTTAAATTTTATTCTTATTTTTTTATTCACCCAAACTTTAGCAGGCAACAATGCCTCTTAATGATAGATCACATAACTCAAATTTTAGTTTTTAAAACTATTTCAGTTGTCGGACAAGAGTTCCAGACATTGCAGACGTTTGACGAGGAAAACGCCAAAGTTTTCCACGATATATTCAAACGCAGACTAAAATCGTGCAAACTATTACTCTGCGATGAATTTAGACACGATAACCACGAATACCTACTCGGAGATCTGAGAGATGATCAACACTGTGTACTGTTTGCATCTGCAAAAGATGAAACGCTTGACAGCTCTTACCAGCACATTCACCTTGGCGCATCTCTCAGGTCCACTAGTAAAATTGCCCAATTTGCAGACTCATGGCTAAAGAGCAGCAGTTTACAGAACTTTGAATTCGAGTGCAAGCCTGCGCATAACTTTGACGGAGAGAGACCTGACATTCGAATATGTAGGCGGCCGACAGACAACTCAGATTCAGAGATTTTGGAGTTATTCATCGAAGAGTCGGTATCCACTATCGTCGAATATGCAGAGAGATCAAGAGGCCTCGAAATTGTACCAGTGGTCCCATTTATCGATACCGAGAGCAGGAAAAGAGTGCTTGAAGGCCTTGAGGCAAGAGGTCTAGAGCAGTCCAAGCTACTCTTATAACGCAACAGAAACAAATGCCGAGTCAAAGCGAGATCCTACTACAGTATCCCGATCTTCGCTGCCCACTATCTGTTTCTTCGAAGAAACCGATATCGAGGGCGCTGAATTTGGAATAGTAGTAGTTTTGATGCGACACAAGAATCCTCAAGACATCCGCGTTGGCTTGGGACAGAAGTTTTTCACTGCAGTGACCAGAGCATCCACCAAGCTGGTGCTGGTTATAGCTGAAGGAGGTAGCAATGAGTCCACAAGCTGCATTGGTATCAGTGATAACCATGTAAACGCGAAAGCGGACTCTCTTTCCAAGATCATTAAGGAGAATATTACCGCCAGGACTCCTACCGTCTTAGTAGGTCCCCTATCACATTTCGAAGGCCTACGAAATATCTCAGATAATAGCTCGCCAATCACAATGCCCAAAATAAAAGGAATAAAGTGCTTCTTAGGTCCAAATGAAGAAAAAATTCTACAAATAGACGACGTGTTCAAAAAAGAGGACTTAGAAGCGCTGCAAAAATATGGAATCCGGCTTCTTGTGCTCTTAAATAACGATTCAGGCTGCGAATGGCGTTTCAAGTTCTTCTACAGCACATATCAATGCATACAAGCCTACACCAAAGATCACAAGAACGCATTTAAAGTTTGCAACCTCCTGGCTAATTACGCTGACCTGCAAGATGATCTACAGTGCCTAGAGACTTTTCTCTACAAGCAGAAAACTGATGATAGAACAAGTCAATCGAATTTGAGGGTTGAAAGAAACCCTTTTGAAGCACCGCTACCAACAGAGTACTTATTCAACTGGGAGAACTGGAAACTAAAAGGACATGAACATTACCACTTGGGCCACAATCTCTTAGCAGCCGACAGGTACATGCAGAGTATTATGTTTCTGGAACCAAAATACCGGACACATTTGACAGAGCGTCAAGTTGAATTGGCGGTGGGGGCGAGAAAAGACTTGGCTAAACTGTGCACGAATGTGTCGATGATGTATCTAAAACACTTGCGCTCACCGAGCGATAAAAGGGAAGAATTGTGCTCAGTTGACAGATCTCTTCACGAAGTTGGGGCAACATTCGAATCGTGCATTGTAACTGCTTTCGATCATGCCATCAAAGCAACAGAATGGAACGCCTGCTGGCAAAAGAGTTACGAACGAATCCGAGATACAATTGAAATTATTAGGCAGCGATCTGCAGCTACGGGACAAAACAAAACGACGGCGGATGAACTAGTAATCATGCAGCAGCTTGTTCAAAAAGACCTTAATAGCAAAGGTATCCATAAGATGAAATTTGAGCCCAGTTTTCCTCTGGATGGACGAGAGGATATTGCTGAAGCAGCGGCAGAAAAAAACGCATACGAGAATAGGATTTCCGATAATAAAGACCAAACGGATACGCTGGAGGATTTAGTCAAAAGGAGAAAACTGTTATCCAGTAGTTACGTTGCAGTAGGCAAAAAAAGTTTGGATCTGATCAAATCAAGAACACATCCTGAAAAACTAATAAACTACATGTTATCCCACAAGCAGGCTAGACAGTTGTTCGACTATTCCGTCCGATTTGCTATCGAGGCCCTTGATTGGAATCCATTTGAAATGTCGGCTAGAACTTTAATCGCACAGTCACTGTCGCGTTTGGAAACCGGTGTAAGCCGATTAGAACAGATCGCTGGTGAATTTGGAGAACACAATTTTTTATCTCAAATTACCGAAGACGAAATAGCATATAGCTAGTTTCTGCAAAATTCTGAGCAGAAGGTCTATTCTGAGTCGCAAAAAAACTGTCGTACCAATAGTCCTGACTGTCTATTGTCCTCAAACCTATTAATACTTTGATTTATAGTTGTATACTAAATTGTAACTTTTGAACAAAAATACTACCTTCAATTCTAAGAGAGGACTAGATGAACTCGCGGTAGGTGGATTTCGCGGTAGCATTGTTCAAACAGAGGCGAAACGGAGCTTCGCACCATTTGCCATACAACAATAACATTAAAAAACATAAGTAGTCGAAAAAAATGAAACGGAAAAAATTAGGTCTACCAAAATTTTAAATTTCTCGAACATAGCCAGCCAATCGAAGATTGGAAAAGAGTAATGAACGCAAGTAAACAAAAAAAACACTGACTTTCTTGAAAAAATCTCTACTTTCGAATTTCAAAGAAAAAAAATTGATGCCCTTTAAGCTCTTTGAATTTCTAGAACAATTTATGATTGGCGATTTTTTGATGATAACATGAACCTAACTTGAGTAAACTGGATCAAAAGGTAAAGTTTTTATTCCGCTGGGAAATCTTAAACATAAATTCCACTTTCGAAACTAGAAATCGTTCACGGTTTTTTGCGCCATTTCCACGTTCTTATTTGGAAAGTGATATTTAAGTGAATTTCAGCAGATGAATTTCAATTGAACTCAAAAACTTCATTATACCTGAGTGCATTCAAATTTTAAGACTTTTTCCTAAAAAAAAATCAGCAAGACCTATATACGAGTCTTCACTACGTTCATTTTTCTTAATATGTCTCGATAGATGAACAACTCCAATGCATGAACAACGTATGCACTTTTCAACTACAATGAAAGTTTATTACAGCACAAAAAAAAATCAGTTTTTTAGCAATTAAGCCGACAACCTTAGAGCGTTAGGCCGTAAAATATTTTTATGGAAAAAAATGAATCTTTTCAAGAATTCAAAACCCTTGCACTTGAACGAAAGTTGTTTACAGCACAAGCAAAAGCCATGATGTGGCTTGAGCAGACAAATGAAAGTCCGACAATACAATTTTAGGCGGAAATGTTTTTTTCAATTGCATACAAACTTTAAGAAAAATAAGGTCCGGCCGAGACGCGAACCCCATTCATAAGGTTGCAAATGCAACCGAGTTACCCTAGGTCGATTGCGAGTGAACCTAGAAGATTAGGGTTCAATATTAAAGAGAAGACATGTAAAAAAAATAGAGTAAGCAGAGACGAATTTGAGCCGCGAAAGAACTGTTATCATAAAACAAACTTCAAGCTATAAAGTTTTAAAAGTTTTAACGGAACACAAAAAGGCATTAAAAATACTTTAACTTCAAAACTACGCAACATAATTTGATTAAACTGAAATAACATAAGCCGAAACCATTTAGTCGAAAAAAAAACCTTAACACAATCACAGATTAAAGAACTTGCCATCATAACACAAATTGTTTAAATCAATAAAAACCACATGCTTTGGAAAGCAGGCGCAAAACGTACCAGATAAAACAAAAGGCATTTTAAAAAATGGAAAACGAGCCGATGGAAACTAGGACGAAAACCACAAACACGAAAAAAAAATCTTTTTCCAAGAATTTTATTTGAAAAAGCTATCACCTGAAACAAATTTTCTCCAATAACTACCTAAATGATAGGTAGCTTTATTTAAATTTTCAAGGAATTGGGCATGTCAGCAGTCGTGAAATGGAAATTTACCATTCCTAATAAAGTTGACGTGCGAACAAAATTGTTTCCTTGAAAAAAAGTCCCGATTGCAATACCCTTGCTTATCGCAAGGGTAATTAGCAGCACTAGTGGTAATATAACTTCCTGTGAGAAAACTGGACTAAAACACGCCAAACTTTTTATTCCACCAAGAAATCTGAAATTTAAAACCCACTTTCAAAACTAGAAAACGATCATGTTTCTTGGTGACCTGTACACTTTTGCTGTTCGATAGTGGTGTTCACCTTCTTTTTCACAAAGCAAAGAATTCAACTTACAAAAATCAAAGGTCAAGTCGCGAAAAATCAAATTCGAGCGTGAACAAATTTAAGAATTTTCTGAAAAAATATCACCGCAAAATTTCCACTGCGTTCCGAATTGATACCGCTCACTAATCGCAAGAGCATATAATGCTTTAAGCTTAAACAATAAATATCAAAACTGTTGAATCCCATCCCTCTCCAAATGCCTTGCAAACAAACATAGCCAACAGACAATTTGAAAAGAGTCAATGAACAGTCTTACTTTTTCGTCACATTTCCACTTTTGTTGTTCGATAGTGCAGATTGCCTTCCTTTAACAATGGAAATTAACTGAGCATGGACTTGAAAACAAATCAAAACTTAATCCGCGAAGACTTTTCCTGAAAACAAAAACATTACGACCTATATAAAAGTCTGAACTACGTTCCCTCTCTTAAAAAAACTGTAAGGTCAAAATTTACGAAAAAAGCGAAGCGAAAATAACCAAAATTACCAAAATAGCAAAAATTACCAAAATAACGATATATAAAAAATTACAATTAGAAAAATTTTTGCCAGGAAGAACTGGAGCTATTAAGTTATGAGGTTTGTTTTTATGGCTATGAGAGTTTCCGGAGGGGGAGTTATGGTTATGAGTGTTTTGCAACTATATTTTCCTTCAAACGACGCAAAATTTCAAAATTTTCGGGCACAGGGGTAAATCAAAAACATTTGAAACTACAAAGAAAATTGGTGAAAGCACGAGAACAATTCGTGGTGGGGCATCTAAGCCGAAAAAAGATGAGCAGACAAACAAAAAGCCGTAGAAACAGGCCCCGAGTCGATTCGATCCTAGGATTTTTGCCGTCCTTGATGTGGTCGTTAACTCAAAGCCAACAGGGCCAGAAAAGACAAAACAGTCAGAACTCAATGTTAATTTCCATTTACACAGAGGCGAAGCTGCATCTTTGCAAAAACATGTGTAAAAACTTTGAAACGATTTTTCGAAGACGCTATTAATCCAGAAAAACTATTTTTACGCTGCTCAGAACTGAATTGAAAAATTTTTTTAAAGAAAATGAACAGCCAATTTAATAATACAGTGGCAAGTAAGCCGACAAATACGGATAAAATCTAAGCGGCTGACAAAAAAAACTAGAAGACTTCGGATTTAAAGAACGATTGCATAATAAATCTAATTTAGAAGCAAAACGACTACTTCAACTACTAAAAAGAATTAAAATGACTACTTTCAATCATTCTACAAGCAAAGTTTTGAGCGGGAAAAAACCTATAAATCGTATGCACGCCAAAATTTGTATTCCAATAAGAAGTTTGAACATTTAACAAAATTCAATTAAAACAATCTAAAAAAATATTTACCTTTTATTCGCTATTTGCAATTTCGCAGCGAAATAATCATATCTTGTAGCAAATTAATTTGAATTATACTTCATAAGAAATCAAAAACCGAACCGCGCCAAAAATCAACTTTTAAAATTCAAACTAAAGAATCTAGTAAGCTCTTTCAAGAACTAGTAAGGCCTTGAAGCTCTTTGGATTTCAAGGGCAAACTATGAATTGCGCGTTTATGGTAAAAATAACCCAATGAGAGAAAACTGGATTATGTCATCACAAAGTTTTTATCCCTCTAAAAAATCTAGAAATCTAATTCCGCTTTCGAAAGTAGAGTCGATACATTTTTTCTTACCATTTCAGCTTTTATTAATGGAGAGAGCATTTTGCCTCTTTTAGCAAATGAAATTAAATGGTTCTCAAAAAATGAACATATACCTAAGGGCGTTCATTTGTGCATTCATAAGTATGAACGCACTTCTTTTGTTAGAGTATTTTAAGACTTCTTGAAAAAAAAAACGTCACAACCTCTATAACAGTCGGAAGTACGTCCATCGAAATTTAATTACAAACTGTCTTTCAACGACACCAAAAACTGCTTAGACTAGAAATCAAATCAATGCTTTGAAAGGTAAGCGGGCAAAAATAAGCAGACAAATGCTAGTCCCACAATTCATGGTTTCCTAGAAAAAGAATCAATTTCAATATAAAGTCCTCCGGGACTCAGCCGGGTCATGCATTCTTTCAATGAAATATAGCCAACAGACAGTTGGAAAAGTGTCAATGAACGTTAACTTGATTTTGAAAAGCAATTGACACTTTTTTATTTAAAAAAAAAACTATATGAGTAACTGGATTATCAAGAAAAGTTTTTATACCGCTGGAAAATTTAAAAAGCAACACAGATGCGAAGCAGACTTTGCGACACTTTCGATACAATAAAAAAATTGCATTATAAATATTTTAAAAAGAAGGATGTCTTTTTTCTAAAAAAAAAAAAAGAAAAAAAAACTTGAAAAAAAGTTTAAAAAAACTATCTACTAAGATGGCTAACAGACAATTGAAAAACAGTAATGAACACATGGAAATAGACAAAATATTGACTTTTTCTTAAAAAACTTCAAATTTCGAAATTCAGAAAAAACACATGGACTTCAAGCTGTTTGAATTTGAAGAACAATTTATTATTGAAACTTTTTTTGATAAAATTAACCCACTTTGAGAAAAGTGGATCAATAGATAAATTTTTATTCCACTGGGAAATCTGAAACGAATTCCACTTTTGAAATTAGAAATCGATCACGTACTTTGTGAACTTAAGGGTTTCGCTGTTCAGTAGTGGAGTTTGTCTTTCTTTTAAGAAAGGAAATGAAGTAAACTAAAAAAAATCAAAAGCCGAACTGCGAAAACTCATATTTTAGCGAGAACAAATTTTAAGACAAAACAAAATCACCAAAACCAATATAAAAGTATTCATTACGTTCATGACTTTTAAACATTGTATTACAAGTAACAAAAAAAGCATTACACAAAGCAGTCACAAAAAAAATTAAAATGAGAAAATAACTGAAAAAATGTACAAATAACTCATCTACAACAATTTCATACATTTCTCTTAATAAACAGCCTTAACAAACATTGAGAATGAATGACTGAGCGGCAGCTAAGGCGAAAAAAACTTGGGACAAGCCACGTCAAACCAAAAACGAAACTAGAAAAAACTCTAGCAGCTATCAATTTTTCAAGTAGCGTTTTTATAACCCATCTCATCTGAAACAGGTAAAAACATTACACCATGAAACCTGCGCAAAATAACTTGACTGAGGAGATATAACATAAGATGAACCCGTTTAACGGAAACAAAATCAAAAAAAATTATAAAATTATTAAAAATGAGAGTTGGAAAATTTACGAACTATAGAGCAACTTTCAATTATAGTAACTGTTTGAATCAAAAATTAAAAAACTAAATCTTTGAAAAAAAAAACGCTTGAAAAACATAAATTGCATTTGAAAAAAAAACATTTACTACCTACCTTCAAGCAAGTGAACTTGAACTGAACTCGAAAAGTGCAGATATATCAAAAGGGCATTCATATGTGCATTTATTAGTATGAATGCACTTCTTAGAGCATTATAAGACATTTCTTTTAAAAAGTCATCAAGACCTATAAAAAAAGTCTGAACTACGTTCAGCGACTCTTAAACAATTGGGTAGGGTCCTGGAGGTTTCATAATAAAGCAAGTTCAATTTCTCCAGTTGTTTAATGGAAAAAAGCCCCAATTACAAGTACACTAGCTGTCGCAACTAGAAGATTTTTCCTTAATCAGCAGGAAAAATTCAATACAAGTTGTATACGTGTGTTTACTACATTAATTGACACTGAATCAACCAAAAACGACCGAAATTAGCAACTTCAATTCGTTCATATACCATAAGATGCATTAGCCAGAGGGATACTCACGAGATAACGGTGCTGATGGTGACGTAGTTCTTGATCTTTTTTGTCCAGTGATCTAGGTTGAGGTACACTCTACTCCTGGTGAAGATGATCTTGCCACTTTTAGTCTTCAGTCTGGCAGCCACTGGAACAGGCTCCCTGCACTTGAGCACAGCTACAATACATGAGTACATTAGATCATGCTCTATAGTGATGTATTTTTACGTTAGTGAACTCCATGGCACGATACATATGCAAACAGCTAATACGTGATATCATTACGAAAGTTTGACTTGAAGTGGGTGTAAATTACTGTTAGATAAGATGAACTCGAACGCCGAACACAGTAGTAAATGCAAAAAGAAAATATATTTGAAAATTAATTTGTGCCAGTTTTTCTGCCCAAATTTTAAAATAAGCTCGAAATTAGAAAAATTCTTTTAATAATTCCCAGACCTATACCGATTTGCTATCAAAGCTTAAATACTTTTCGGCAATAAGCTTTACGATTGAAATAGAAGCACTTAGAATGGTGTGAAGGTATTTTCATTGAGATCCACTGCCAATAACTCTAGCTGCATGTCTGCCACCACCTTTTGGCTAATTTTTGAAAAACGAAAAAAAAAAACTACCCATGGCAAAAACAGCCACTCTAAACAAAAACACAGCCAAGAGAAAGCTGGAAAATTGAAAAGAATCCGAAAAAAAAAACGATTTTCGAAAAATATCAGATTTTAAAGCTTTGAATTTCAAAAAACCTTTTTTCTTAAAATTTACCCAATTCAAGAAAATTGGATCACTGGGTAAGTTTTTCATAGCGCTGTGTCTTTCACCTAAGTCCTCAACCCTGAGTCTTGCACGTTTCATCGCGCCATTGCCACTTTCGCAGTTGTAGTGCACTCTACCTAATTTTTAGAGGATGGATTTGAACTGAACTCACGAAGTGCATATTTGCCTTAGTGCATTCATAAACCTCTATGTTTACACTTTGCGTTCTTATACACCTAATTATTTGGCCTAGAACGGGGAGTAAATACACTAATAACGCTTACCGGAATATACTTCGACAGGCTTGAAGCATTGCACTATTCAATCCTTAGCTATCAGTAAAGTTATCATTGACTATGCATACCATCGAATTGTGCAGCAACGATGAAGAGCTGGTCTTTAGGCATGACGAAATCGTAACCAGTTCTGCCTACAACCTCCACTTGCGTGAAGCCTAGAATCCTCTCTATTCTGCAAAAAAAAGCAAAAACAGAAAACATATGCAAAATAAAAACAGTTTGTTATTTCAAATCGATAAAAAACTCAGTCGAAGCTTTTTTTTCAAAATGGGTGTGAAATTGCAATTTTAATGGTATCAGCTATCTAAAATACTTGTTTGTCTGTACTTGTGGCCACTATCCATTGAAAATATATGCATGTGCTTACCTTGGGTCTGCGAATAGAATGATTGGACTCTGGTCCGAGGATAACATGTACTCGTGCACTGAAAAATGCTCGGGATTGGGAGTCAGTTCCAGTTTGAGAGAGACTGTAGGTACCTCCACTAGAGAGAAGAACATCTGCTGCACGCCCTTTTCCTCTTTCCACTCTCCGATCCCCAAATTTTCAGGATATGCACCATGATATTTTTGTCTGTCTTCTTGATGTTTTGCTGCTGTCCCATTGAGAGGCCGACAGTCTTCAATTCTCATAGCACCTCCATGTCTGAAACTCACGAGAATATAAAAAAAGGATTAGTTTCTTAAAATTTGATTAAAAATAAACAGCAACAAAAGCTAAGACTTGGAGAAGACAGACAACAGGATACAACCAGCTCCTGTCCTAAAAATCTAATAATTTTAACTTCCATTAATTGACCAGCAAACAAAGTATCAGCTACCATGCATTATAGTGACCACTTCACTACAATAATTTCATTATACTTAATTTAATTAGAAAAAGTCAATGATCGCAGGGAACGGAAAAAATGACTTGAAGAAAACTTTGAAACTCAGAAATAAATACCCTTAAAGCTATCGAAATTCAATAAAAAGTTATAAAAGACGTTTTTAGATAAAATTAACCCAATTGAGAAAACTAGATCAATAGGTATCTGTTTTAATCCGCTGTGAAATCTGAAAATTAAAGTCCACATTCATAACTAGTAGTTGATTACGTTTTTTGTGACGTTTACCATTCTACTGATCAATAGCGGAGTTAGCCTTCATTTCAACAAATGAGATGAAAGGATCTTAAAAGTAAATAGAAAAAGATCAAACTTAGCCTGACTTTTTCATTTAAAAACAAAAAACGGGACAATATATTCACTACGCTCATTGAAACTTTAACTAAACAGAGGCGAAGCGGATCTTCGCACCACTTGCTATACAACATAAAAATAGCAGTGCAAACTAGCAGACAAGAAGAGAAAGCCATTAAATCCAAAAAAAAACACTTCAAAAACCACATATTAATAAATTTAAAAAAAAACACCAACAGCATAATAAGCGAAATCAAAGCTACTGAAATTAAAAATTGCAGGGGCAAAATAAAACACTGAAAGCAACTACACTGAAAATTGCGTACAAAAAATGATTTCTACGATATGGCAACTAAGCCGACAAAACACAGGCAGCCAAACTTGAGACCAACAGTTTTTTTTGGAAAGGAGGATTTCAAGTTTGAAAACAAAAATGTTGGTCAGATTCAAACTCACGAACATTGGCGTCCTAGGCGTATTCTTTACCTCCAGGCGAAGAGCCGGACACATATTCAAGTTTGAATTCATTATGAACCAAGATGCAAGTGATTCTGTTAAACAAGTTCTTAACGGAAAAATAGTCTATTTTCCAATTTGATAACTCTTGCTAATCGCAAGCGTAAAAACGGTTATGTTAATTAAAATTTAGAGCCCTGGAAAAAATGCCAGTTCACGTTGTGACTTTTTCCTCGGATGTCTTTTTTGTTACTTTTACTGTGTCAACAATTTAAAGCTTGCTCTCACAAATTTTTTTTGTTAAGTCAGTCAATCTTGACTTCTTACACGTTTTTTAGCAGCTGTGCCCATAACATTTCACAGGTTGGCAGCAAAACTAGGTATAATCAACAATTTAATTAGAGAGCGATAAAAGAGTAGTAAATCAACTTCTATATATATGGAAAGTTAACCGCCTGTTGAGATCTGATCTCGTGATATGACATCGCGCGATATCGCGTGACATCGTGCGATATCCAATCATGTTCTTATTTTGAACCAAAAAGTGGGAAATTACTTCCCTATAAAGTGAGAGGTCATTTCTCCGAAACTTAACACTCCTCTTTTCAAAATAAGTACTAAATCATAGCCTACACTAGTCTGGAGGTTCAGTTTTACCATGTCCCATACGATGTTTGTTAAGAGCAATTTCTAAGCACCTGAAACATTTCACAGGAGGTCTATCACTAGATGACTGGTTAACCTTATTTACTAACTTAGATCTACAATCAGCTCCTATGTGTCCTATCTTATTGCACCTAAAACATGTTTTTGTTCTGGAAATAAACGAATGTTCAGTCTCCTCTTTCTCATTTGTATGATCACTTTGAAAATTTAACAAGGCTGTCTTAATTTCATTCAAGCTCTTATCATCTTTGCTAAACTTAACCAAAGTACAAAAGTATTGAACTCTTTTGGTAGGCCTTTAAGAATGATTGACACAACAACTTTTGACTTAAACCCTCGTCTACTTCATCGAAATTATACTGCAACTCTTCAGCTCTAGTGATATAATCGACAACACTTTCATTAGTTTTCATTCTTATCGAAGTTAAATCTGAAATAAATTGCTGCAGTCTCGGCGCTTTTGAACCTTTTGCACAAAATTTCCCAAGCCTTACTTCCCTTGCCTTTATAAGATCTTAAAAACAAAATAGATTTTTTGTCTAAATATTGGACCAACTCATACCAAACATGCAATTCTTTTTCACCAAAATTTCTGTCCCTTTTCTTAAAGATGCCTCTCTGTTCTACAGTAGCATTATTTCTAACACTGGGTCCAAAATCGTTCTCATCTACTTCTCTATTGATAACTTAATTCAGTTTAAGATGAAAAATTCTAGCCTCAAATTGCTCTCCAAAGTACAAAAATACTTCTTCTTTTCTTGAAAACACTATTCTCTCTGACTTGGACATCTTTCACCTCAACCGTATTGCTCTGAGCAAATACCTTATATTCCACGTACTTTTCAATGACAAAAATTCAGTCTATATTATATCAGCAAACATATCGCAGCTCACAATATAAGTAATCATGTATCTCATTACCTCAGTCTGATCCAAAACCTAACGGTAAGCGTACTGAATAACACATCAGCGATTTAGCAAAGCTAAGGTTACTTCCCAGACTTCATACATTATAGCAATATATATTAGCAAAATAGAAATTTTGGAGTGTTTTTTTGTGGAACTTCTATTCTTTAAATCAGGTTCGAGAGCAGATCTCACAGCAACGGATTACGATCCCCCCAAGCAACAACAATTATCTACAAATTTATATAAAACACCACATCAATTGAGTTATCAAATTGAACAGTTTGTCAGTTTCTATCTATCACTGTTTCCCTTTCTCTCTCTCCTCTCTCTCTCTCTTTCTCTTTTTCTTTCTATCTCTATCTATCTATCTATCTATCTCTCTCTCTCTCTCTCTCTCTCTCTGTGTGTGTGTGTTTGTGTGTGTGTGTGTGTGTGTGTGTGTGTGTTTGTGTATCTGTTTCTCTCGTGTGCTTCTTTCAGCTTTCGTTGTGACTCCAGACTTCACTGATCACTGAATTGTCTCAATGACTCTTTGTATTGCTCTGTTGTCTATCTGCCAGTTCACTTTTTGACTTTTTCCTCGGTTGTCTTTTTTTGTGACTTTTACTGTGTCAACAATTTAAAGCTTGCTCTCTCAAATTTTTTTTTGTTTAGTCAGTCAATTTTGACTTCTGACACGTATTTTAGCAGCTGGGCCCATAACCTTTCACAGGTTGGCAGCAAAACTAGGTGTACTCAACAGTTTAATTAGAGAGCGATAACAGAGTAGTAAATCAACTTCCAATATATGGAAAGTTAACCGCCTGTTGAGATTTGATCTCGTTATATGACATCGCGCAATATCGCGTGACATCGTGCGATATCCAATCATGTTGTTATTTTGAACCAAAAAGTGGGAAATGACTTCTCTGAAAAGTGAGAGGTCATTTCTCCGAAACTTAACATTCAGCAGCATTGAACCACAGATAAGAATTTAAATTTATAAACAATCCAAAATTTATCTAATTAATAATTTTGAAAACGCGATAAAATGTAATTTTTCATTAAAGTAATGTAATATAACTTTCAATAACCACAGGCAATAAATCAGAAGTTTTCACTGTTAAGCAACTTGCATGCACAATACCGTTTCGAGAATCTTTCAATTTTCCGTTTGCAAAAAGGTCCCGAATACATATCTAAAATAGACCTCCATGTGGCTTTCTGGGAATTTTGAAATGTAAACATTTCGTTCAAAAAAGACTCACAACAAATTTCAGAGGCTCATTAACATGTTCTTCATAAACAGTAAACAGGCAGTAGTTTTTTTTTAAAAAAACATTGTCAGACTGATCATGCTGTTTTTGTAATTTAAAAAATACAAGATTTCTATTGAAACAGGACAACTCGGTCTAATACAGCCGAATAAGTACATCAAACAAATGTTCTTTTAAAACGAGACAAAAATTTTGAGTGTTTTGCAATGATACGGGGTACCAAACATAAGTTTTCGTATAGGATCTCTTCTAAGTCTCTTAAATGTGAAGGCTGCTCCACTAACAATCAGCTGACTTACAGCATTTTTTGACTTTCCTCGTCCGTATCCTGTTGTTTTCCAGAAACACGAACAACGGTATACTGGGGTTGCTCTTTAGGCGCACAGTGACCATTGACCATTCTACAGAGGAAGGTTACGTAATGGCAGTTTCCATTCGCACGGGAGGATGAGCTCGGGTCTGCTGCGGTAATGCTGCCTTTGGTTATCTGGGGCAGACAGCTGATGAAATCTGAGGGACATCTACAGTACAGCATAAAGTCCTCCACATCATCTGGGTGCAGCATGGTTTCAATTGAGCACCCACAGAGAGCATCCTAACATACAGTTTACTTTAAATTTCAAATAGTCCCATATCATAAGCCTTAATTGCATGATTGAGAAGCTCAGGAGGGTGTTATAATTAAGAAACTTCGCCACAAAAACGCATAAGTTCGTGACATTTAAAGCAGAAGACTTATTTTTTGACACACAAGTCGATCACGTTTTTCCTTATCTGTACACTTTTACTGTTAGGAAAGGGAGTTTGCTTTCATTTTAGCAAAGTAAATGAACTGAAATTACTAAGAAATCAAACTTCAGGCCACGAAAAATCAAATGTGAGCGTGACTTATCCACAAAAAAGCACAAACAAAATACTAGATTCTTCACTACGGTCATTGACTTTTACAAAATTATCAGTGTCGAGAAAAACTGGCCTTTTGTAAATTCTTGTTAGAATAGGTTTTATTAGGGACAACAACCCATCCTCGACCACTCGCAAGATCAAAAAGGCTTATTTGAAGTTCAGTTTCTACCTTACATTACAGCTCTGCGAATTTAAAAAATTATTATTTGAGTTTTTCAAATTAAATTCACCCAATTTGAGAAATCTGGATCGAAGGCAAACTTTTCACTCCGCTGGGAAATCTAAATTTACAATCCACTTTCCAATCTTGAAAACGATTTCGTTTTTCACATTTTAAGACTTTCTTCAAAAAAAAATCACGGAGACCTATATAACAGTCTTCATTTCTTTCATGACTCAAAATAACAGAAAATATCAACTGCCACTTTACAAAATGATTGGTTCGAATTTTTGATTCAAATAACCCAATTTGATTTTTTAAAAAAAGAGTGAATAAATAAAAAGTTTAAAACCAAACAAAAACGAAATCCTTTTTCAACTTAAGAAACCAACAAAGCATCATTGGAAATTTTTCGAACCATTTCTCCTAAGAACTACATGACCTGAAAAACTAAAAATCAGATTGTTTATTAAAAATCAGACTCGTTGATGGGGGGCGAAAAACTTTTTTTTTTCGTAATGCTTAAACATGGGCAACAGGTGGATTTTTCGAGATCTTCATGAAGATGTTGCCTCCTAGTGGACCCACTTCGTACAGGTTTCTCATTTGGGCATTGGTGATGAATGGCGTCAGAATTTTCAAAATCCACTCAAAACTTTGGTGGGGGCACTTAAAGTTTTTTTATTCCTAATGTTAATACGTGGGCAACAGGTGGATTTTTCGAGATCTTCATGAAGATGTTGCCTCCTAGTGGACCCACTTCGTACAGGTTCCTCATTTGGGCACTGGTGATGAATGGCGTCAAAATTTTCAAAATCCACTCACAACTTTGGTGGGGGCACTTAAAGTTTTTTATTCCTAATGTTAATACGTGAGCAACAGGTGGATTTTTCGAGATGTTCATGAAGATGTTGCCTCCCAGTGGACCCACTTCGTACAGGTTCCTCATTTGGGCACTGGTGATGAATGGCGTCAAAATTTTCAAAATCCACTCACAACTTTGGTGGGGGCACTAAAAGTTTTTTATTCCTAATGTTAATACGTGGGCAACAGGTGGATTTTTCGTGGTTACCATGCTATGTATGAGTTTCACATAGTCAGACAAAAAAGCATAGTCCGACGATTAAACACAGAGGCGAATTGGATTTCGCATACACAAGCAAAAATATGACCGATAACGCTACTGGGAAAAACTGAATGAGTATAACTTTGAGTCTACAAAATTTCTTAAGTGATGCACGCCAATTATGAGTCTATATTATTGCAAAGTGACGCAAGCCAATTATGACGCATTATCAGAACCAGTCAAATTGAAAAAAAAACCAACTAACATGCCTCAATTTATAGAGCGGACGCATTTTAACTAGTATACGATAAAATTCATTAAATCCGACCCTGACCAGGTTCGAACCCTCTTATTTTGTTGCCGGTCTCCTTATTTACCTCTACGCTACAAATCCATGATAACTTGAAGCTAAAGTGCTATTTGTAATATAATAGTCTGAGTTACTATCCTTAACATTTGCTGTTCTTAATAGCTGGTTATTGATCAAAATGAGCAATTTCAAAATGAACACATTTTGTCGCACTAATATTTGCGTTGCAACAATACTGCAACTAAGGTTGGAAAAAAAGAGATTGCATACTATGAAACAAGCTTTGCTAGTGTAATTAATCCTGCAAAAACTTCAATTTACAACAGATATATTTTGATAACAATTCAAAATTTGACTTTTCGGTACTACTATGATAGAGTGGTCCCTTGAAAAATAATCAGGTCCCTTGAGAATAAGACACCTAGAGCTCTCAAATCGTTTAATAATTATGATTACACCTTTCAGAAAGATGTCGCAGTATATTTTCAAACAAATTTGATGTTTTGTTACCTCTTAAAACCTCCCCCTCACCATTTTAAGGTTGAAAATTAAACCGTAAAATAAAGTAAAGCAAATTTCAGTATATAAACAATAGTGATTACAATTTTCAATCTGAAAAGTTTTTGGCTGAACATATTTTGCAAGATTTTTGAAATGAATAATTTATACACAAATTAGTTTTCAAAATATAACATGCGAAATGCATGCGGGACCTGTCTATCATAGTTGCTTTTTCGAGGGACCACTCTATCATAGTAGTACCGACTTTTCATCTGACCTTAAACTGAATTACAAAATTCTACCAGTCACAAGGTTTCTTGATTTTAAACTAGACTGCCATATCTGGCAAAAAATATAAACTAATACCAGCTTATACAAGAATTTAGTACGAGAACAACACAATTATTGATGAGATCAAAATAATTTTAAAATTATATTTTCAAGTAATATCAATAGTCATAAAAAACTGCCCTTTTTCAGCAAATCAGTTTTAACTTGGAATCAAATTGAAAACGCAAATGCAAATATATCGCAGCCTTACTTATAAAACCATGAAATTTAAACTTAAGATTACTCTTTATTTATTTTTAGTGGAGATCGGTCTATGGCAATTAAAGTGTTTTTTTTTAAGTGGTTGCGGTTCATTTTATTTTGTTAGTAGAAAAAAAAACCCAAAAGTATTGAAAAACCCTGCAACTTACATCATCTAAAGATAGGGCTGCCTTGATGGACGGAGATGCATAAATAATTCGACCACTTTCACAGTCAACTTTCAAGACAAAGTTTCTTAAAGTAGTTGCAGCTTGTAGCGAATGCTCTGATGCCCCATTTGAACCATACGCCACCAGTGCCATCACAGATATGCATCAGAGAGACACTTGATATGGGAATAAATTTTAATTGAAATCGATGACCTAGTTATCGATTGCATTTCATCGGCTGCGATCTTACTCTTATATAAAGACAGCTCCTGTCTCACTTACGCTCAACACTATCAGAACTTAACCTTGTTCACATCTTCATGGTCTTCGATGCAATAAGCAGATCTAAGACAGTGCACGGCAAATTATCTGAAAAGAAATGAACAACGATAACCGGTTGCTGTGCAAGTAGCACAGAATGTTCTGATATATTTCTTTTAAAAAACCTACAATAAAGTTTAATCTAATCTTAACAGCCTAATTGTTGTGATAAATTTATTACAATTACTACTACTACCACTAAAAGACTTTATTACCCAATTATGGGGCTAGCAGACTACAAATACACGTGACCCGAGATTAAGAGCGACAATAAGGACATTTACACTTTTAAAAGAATGTGCACGAGTTAAGGGTTAAAAGTAATTCGCAGTTTCGTCAGAAGATGATCGTGAATTTTACGCTTGGCTTGGTGAACTTCATCCAGAAGGTTGATTTCTGTGGTTTCTGAAATAAAAATCGCATTTCTAACAGTTCGCTGAAAGTAATTGTCCCAAGATGTATTTTTCGGCACTTTGGAGTTTCGAAGCGAACGGTGCAACAAGATCGATTGTTTGGCCGTGGTGTGGCTAGGGATATATTATTCCAAATATCAAAATCATAACGATGTTATAGTAGCTTGCAGAATAGAACAAGATCAACAGAAACCAATTGGTAACAAATAGGAAGCAAGTGTGCCAGTCGGTCATATTTGGAAGTTTGACCTTGAGGAATACGAACTACGTAATTTTGGGATGAAATTTAATTTTTCAAAAATTCGAACTGAGCCAGTCATGCTCAACTTTCTCGCGAAAACTGAAAATCTCCGAAATACAAGATCAGAACGACCGGATAACAATCGCGGGAAAGTGGTCAATTTAGGCAGTGGGAAATTGCTATTCGCAATTACCGACATCTAAATAATACGAGAGTAGAGCTGTACTATCTTGAGACAGAAAAAAAAGAACATCGAAATTCAGTTGGACCAGAGTGAACCTTCGGTGGAAAGGTGGACAACCGAGGTGTCCCAATGGTCCAGAACCAAAACTCCATTCTTGAGATAAAACTTGTTCGATTAGAACTTGTTGAACCAAACTTAATTACTCAATTATTCTCAAATTGCTTACTAATTTAGTTACCTCTAATTCTCGAGTGTGCTGGTATGTGAGTACCCAATTTAATTTTCTTGAGTGTCTTTTATGATTGTTATGTTGATGTAAGGAGAGATTTAGGTTGATCCATCTGAAATGGATCAGACTTCTGTGCCAGTCGGTCATATCTAGAAGTTTGACATTGAGGGACAAGAATATACGTGATTTTGGAGTGAAGTTTTATTTTTCAACAATTCGAATGGAGCCTGTCATGATCAGTTTCCTCGCAACAACTGAAAACATGAAATAAAAAAGGAGAACGACCGAATTAACAATTGCGGGAAAGTTGTCAAATATATACAGTGGGAAATTGCTATTCGCAATTTCCATCGTAGAAAACTGGAGTAGAGCTGTTCTATCTGATATAGGAGACAAAACAAATACAAGAGCGGAGCTAAAATCAACTGGACCAGTGTGAACCTTCAACGGAAAGGCGGACAAGGGAAGTCTCCCAATGGTCCAGATCAAAAACTATATTCTTGAGTTAAAACTTACTTCCTTGGATCGGAACTCATCGTTAAAAAACTTCTTGAGTTATATTTGATTATATTTATGCCAGAGTCGTTAATTAGTTTAATTACTCTGATTCTCAAGCGTGCTGCTATGTAAGTACCAAATTTTGTTTTCTCGAGTGTGTTTTGTGATTGTTATGTTGAGTTAAGGCGAGTTTTAGGTTGATCCATCTGAAATGGATCAAAGTTCCACTGTCTAATAAAAAAATAACCTAACGGATTGTTCCAACCCTGTTTTTAACGGCGTTCGTGTAATTTGGGTATTTCGAGACCTAAGTATGGGAACGTTCTTATTTTCTAGAATGGGGGATATTTTGGTAGTAGCCTTTAAGGGTAACGGGTTCTAGTCTCATGTCGCAAGCGAACCTAATTGGCTCTGACCGTTTTTGAGGTAGAAAAACACAAGAGATAGTGTCCCTGACTCTTGAGCCAATGGTTATAGGGCCTATTTTTCTTAAGCCTCATATGTGACCGAAGTAGGCAACTGTTACATAGTGTTTTTATGGCGCTCCTGGGTGTTTTTACGACATCATGACTACGGAGTCGAACCCACTTGACACAGCTCGGGGCTGCATGCCCATTCTAGAGTACCGGTGATAGCTTTTTAAGAAAACTTGAGAAAACTTCCTGGTACGCTCTCCGAACGAGGCCTAGCTAACCGAGTAAGGGGGGTAACTAGGGGGACAAAAAAACGAGCAAAAAGTCAAAAGCTAAACAAAAATAAGAAAAAAGTATAGAAAAAGGAACAAAAACCATAAAACAAAAAAGACAGTGACTTGGATACCAGATTAGTTGGATCAAAACTTTATATTAAGTAAATAGTATACCCATACTGTTTTATAAGACCGATCGTTTCGATCAATCTAGCAATCTAAACCAGTGACTTCAATAAGGTGCCCAAGTGGGGGGCGTTGTTAAATGTTTTCAGATAGCTTGCAACCTAGCCGGACCTCTAGGAGACTTGACTGGAAGAGGTGACCAGCCGAGTGGGAAAGTGGTTCACAAGGACAGAACAGGACCACTAGGAGACTTGACTGGAAGAGGTGACCAGCCGAGTGGGAAAGTGGTTCACAAGGACTGAGCTGAAACGCTAGGAAACTTGACTGGAAGAGGTGACCAGCCAAGTGGGAAGGTGGTGCTGGTGTCAAGTGCAGTGCACGTCAAAGGGACAACCAGCACGGGATCGCTACAACAAAAAGAGGACGCACAGGGGTGTTCTCAAGTTGGGCAAACGGGTATCGTTAAATTCCACATTACATTATAGGAAATAAGTGTAAAATTGGATAAGCGGAGCCCCATTGTTTTGAGGAAGTTTTTACACAAGCAGGCCTGGAAACAGGTCTACGGTTTTCTCTCGAGAGGTTTAGCACCCGGCGCTTAAGGGATTGTTCGGCTTAAGAGGGGGGCTAAAGAGGGGGGAGGTTAGAAGGGGGCTGGTTAGGTTAGAGGTTGGTGGTTGTAAATTGTAAAAAGGGGGGACACATTAGAGTAAATAATTGTTCGGCATCGTCGATTTAGTTACATTAGATACTTACACGCGTTGATTATAAGAAGCGGATATCCAAATTTAACATCGAGTTAAGGTAGGTACACTGGTCGGATCGGAAGGGGGGAACGGACATAGACAGTTTTGTGATACCCCATAAGATCGCTAGCAGGGGGGAGGAAAACGCGTGGCAATCGGGTAACAGACATTTTTTCGGACAAAGGTTGACATCTGTCAGCCTTGAATTTTAGGTGGGTTCACCTCTCTGTTTTTGTGATTTTTCTTGTTTAAATTTTTACGTTTTGGTGAAAATTTGTTGTTGGTATTTGAACGAACAGGTGATCACAAGATACCTGCGAAAAAGTTGTAGTTTCAAATAGCCTGAAACAACGAGAGGGAGATAAATACAGGGGGGTCAGTATTTGGATTTTGGCCAAGAAGATAGGGATTTTGCGAAATTTTTTTTACTAGAGCTCAAGTGGTGGTACACGGTACAGCGGTTCAAGAGGCCCCACAACGAAGAAGAAGAGATCCTACTATCCAGACACTTAGTGACAAGTCTTGGGGCAGTACCGAACAAGTCTTGGGACATTGCAGTCTGGGGACGGTCTTGGAGCAGTACAGTCTTGGGACAGTCTTGGGACAGTAGAGTCTTGGGACAGTCTGGGCACGGTGCAGTCTTGGGACAGTCTTGGACCAGAGCAGTCTTGGTACGACACAGTCTTGGGACACTGGTCTTGGGACAGTAGTCTTGGGACAGTAGTCTTGGGACAGTGGTCTTGGGACACTAGTCTTGGGACACTGGTCTTGGGACAGTGGTCTTGGGACAGTGGTCTTGGGAGTGTGGTCTTGGGAGTGTGGTCTTGGGACAGTGGTCTTGGGACACTAGTCTTGGTAAGTGGTCTTGGGACAGTGGTCTTGGGACAGTGGTCTTGGGACACTGGTCTTGGGACAGTAGTCTTGGGACAGTAGTCTTGGGACAGTAGTCTTGGGACAGTGGTCTTGGGACAGTGGTCTTGGTACACTGGTCTTGGGACAGTAGTCTTGGGACAGTAGTCTTGGGACAGTAGTCTTGGGACAGTAGTCTTGGGACAGTAGTCTTGGGACAGTAGTCTTAGGGCAAGGGTCTTGGGACAGTAGTCTTGGGACAGTGGTCTTGGGACACTAGTCTTGGGACAGTCGTCTTAGGGCAAGGGTCTTGGGACAGTGGTCTTGGGACACTAACAAGAAGTACTGAGACAGCACTGAATAGTCATGGGACAGTAGAGAGGAAGTCTTGGAACAGTATAAAGAAGGGGGTGACGGTACTAAAGGGTACTAAGACAGGTTGAGGTAACCAATCGCAAAATTAAATTTTCTAACCAGTCCTAAAGATCCGGTACTGTGGGAATCAAGAACATACTGAATTTTCAAAAAGCTTAGGAAACGTTGTTTTTATTAAATTGTAAATTTCTTTTTATTGATTTTGTCAAAAGAGATTTAAACCCTAGAGTAGAATTTTGTATATAGTAATACTGTAAATAGGAACAATTGTAAATAAAAATAATGAGGCGGAGCAGGGTACCGGTGGCTGAAAAAAGATCTACTGAAGCAAAGACAAAATACAACTCGTCGCTACGTAAAACGACATTAATGGGCCCAAAGATAACAAATAAGAACTTTTCAGTTAGCATGGTCAACACGAGGAGTAATACAGAGAACAGAGCAAAAGAGGGCACGGAAGGGAAACAAGCAGAACCCGCCATCGAGATTGAACTAGAGACACCGGACCAGAGTGTGGATGAGGTGGGAAAGAAGACGACAGAGTCAACTCCGATGCCGAATGCGGAAGAACCTAATCCAAAGTCCATGGAGTTCTCACCGATAGACAATGTGGAGGACACAACAGGCAACACGCCAGAAACGGTGAAGGACGAGTCTCAAGCAAAAAGAACGTCTTTTCTTGAAAAATTGGCGAT